AGACACACACACACACACACACACACACACACACACACACACACACACACACACACACACTTTCCTTGTTTCTGATGGCATTGTTCCCTTCCCCTGTACTGAATGTTATGTTGTTACATTCAAAGCTTCTGTTAAGTTTGAATGTGCAACAAAAATCCTCAAATTGTATGAAGTGATTCATCAAATGAAATGAGTGAGTTTTTTTTTATAGTTATTACATTTAATTAATATAACTTGACTCTTTATGTGGTTAAGTGGGAGAGCAAACAGTGTTTTGATTTGAGTGAAAAGGCTAAATGCCAACAAAAATGCTATGAAACTGAATATTTTCCAATTTTTATTTTATTTTTGGAAGATATTATATCTATCCTTCTTCAATAAATGTAAACTTTTGTACTTAAAAAATCTCTGCAGTTATTGGAAATGTTCAGATCACACAAGTCAGAAACAATCCTTCGGCTGCAAATGGTATAACAATCTAAATATACATTTTTCCTCCTCTTTATCTACAACTGTGCATAAATATCACGCAATGACCACACGTGCAGAAAATGACAGCTACAAACATTTGAATGATGATTTGATTCAAAAATCTGAGTTTCAAATAAAGCTTTTGGTAGAAACCTACTCTGGACACTGTTTTGGTATTCACAGTGTTTTCTAAATCAAGATATCTCCTCTTCTCTCTCAGTGTACTACGCCTCAGGCTGCAGCATCGCCCGGTTCCCAGAGGACGGAATAGTGATCGCCAAGAATCTGAAAGACCAAGGTACTCACCCTCCACTTCCAAAGTATTGAACCCAGCTTAGTGTGCAGAGTGAAGGCTCTCAGTTAATGTGTGTGTGTGTGTGTGTGTGTGTGTGTGTGTGTGTGTGTGTGTGTGTGTGTGTGTGTGTGTGTGTGTGTGTGTGTGTGTGTGTGTGTGTGTGTGTGTGTCAGGTCTGGAGGTGTTGAAGCAGGAGACTGCGGTGGTGGAGGGGGTTCCCATCCTCGGTCTGTACCAAACGCCGTCAGACGGGGGAGGTCGCATCGCCCTGTACGGTGATTCTAACTGTCTAGACGACAGCCACAGGCAAAAAGGTGAGCTCCCGTAGTGTGTTCTAATGTGTGTTTGCTTTTTTACTTACAACCCATAATAATATTGTGGTGTGTGACCTTCAGACTGTTTCTGGCTGCTGGACGCCCTCCTGCAGTACACCTCCTACAGTATGACACCTCCCAGCCTCAGTCACTCCCACAGCAGGGTGCCCCCCCCCACAGGCACCGAAAAACCACTGCCACAGAGACTGGAAGGTGAGGACGGAAGTGACATAACACATGCATGACGTCGTAATATTGGTTATTTTCCTTCTTAATATCCATATACTGTATATGGGTTTTTTTTAGGAAAATAAAAAGCCCCATAAAGATCCTTTATTATAAAAGGAAGTTAAGGGTGAGGCTTGTTTTTCAAAATAAAAGCACCATAGAGTAACTTTATCCTTAAAAGAAGCTTAGGAAGAGGCTTGTTTTTTTATTTTTTTTTAAAATATAAGCCCCATAGTCAATGTATCTTTGCAGGAATCTTTGAAAAATGCATGTTTTTCCAAACAAACTCCCCATTGAGTTACTAAATCCTTACAAAAAGCTCCAGGCAGCGATAAAAACAATGAAAAAAATTACTTGCATTATAACAGGAAGCTCAGGATTATGCTTGTTCTTTTTTTTTTTTTATATATAAGCCCCATTGAGTTACTAAATACTTATTAAAAGCTCTGGGCAATAAGTGTTTTTCTAAATAGAAGCCTCAAACCGAACTTCTATTGTTCAAGGAAGCTCAGGTTTAGGCTGGTTTTCAAAACAAAAGCCCATGCAAGTACTTGCGTCATTGCAGAAGACTCAGGTTAACGCTGGTTTTTCCAAAGAAAAGCCCTGGAAAGCAACAATACAGCCACTGCTATCAATACCTACTTAGCACTAGCATTATTAGCATCAGGATACGCACCAGGTTGCAATCACAGTTAAACATTTCTCAATAGGGAGTTTTCTACTTATGTTTCAGACAGATATATTCTTTCCTTTCTTCCAGGCAACCATCTTTACCGCTACTCCAAAGTTCTCGAGGCCCACCTGGGAGACCCTAAGCCCCGCCCACTACCAGCCTGCCCCCACCTGTCTTGGGCAAAGCCACAGCCGCTCAATGAGACAGCACCCAGGTCAGTCTGGTGAAACACCAACGAGTCGTCAGGGATGATGCCTGTGTGAAAATAATGTGTTTTGTTTTTGTGAGATTAACTGTGTACAGAAAGACCAAAGGCATTTCTGACGAGCTAATCTAGAAACAAGCTTTACCTAATTAGCTGCAGGGCTCATTTACATTTCTCTTCTCCAACATAAGGTGTCAATCCAACAGTGTTGTGACTTTTATTTCAATTTCTGTGTAGATGTGACGGAGCGGATCACAGAGTGACTGACTCTGCCACTGACAGCCGACACACGCACACACACACACCAAACATTTTGGAGAAAAGACGGAGGCGCATCACTTCCGTGTTTTAAATTCCTGCAATGAACCATGCAATTTTTTATTTATTTTTGCGTTTGTTAATTATGGGGAATGATTATGTTAAGAGGTGGTTAATCTGTTTATGTTTGGGTCAGATTTTTTTATGTTGACAATGTGGTTTTGAGGTAATTGCGCCACCTGTTGACGGTAAGCCTGTGTGAGGGGCTATGGGCTCAAAAGGGACTGGGTTTGGCCCTGGAGATATCACTCTGAAGAATGTTGCAGTAAAGGCAACAGCTGGGACATGTTTGGGAGTTTGTTGCAGAGAAGGCAACAGCAGAACTCTGAATGAGTGATGGACGGCCTGTTTTGGTCTTTTATTTTGTTTGTGTTAAGGTGTGCTGTTTCGTTATTTTTTAGTTGCTGTTATAAATAAAGTTTTTTTTAGCTTAAAACAACCGACTAAGCCATGTTTCGAACGGACAATTAGAACCCCGTCACAGTAGAAATGACAAATATCTGAGTTACATTTCCTTCTGTCGCAGCACCACTTAGGCAGTACTCCCAGTAGTTGGGAAACACATTTCTGTGACATAATAATTAGGATCAGTCTGGTGGTTCTAACATCAAATGTTTTTTTCAACCTGTCAACAGAGTAAATCAAATCAAAGGCATATGGATGTCATGAAGTAACGCTTTGGTTTTGTGACTGACTCATCACATGAAAACAGAACACTGTATACATTAGCGTATGTCTCACCCTCTCTTTGTTCCTCTCACAGTAACCTGTGGAAGCACCAGAAGCTTCTCTCAGTGGATCTGGACAAAGTGGCTCTACCCAACGTGAGGGCGTACCGGCCCCAGGTCAGACCTCTGTCCCCTGGGGAGAGCGGGGCCTGGGACATCCCTGGAGGTAACACCAACTAAAAGTTCCCACTTTAAGCATTCTAACTTGGGATTAATTTGAGACCTGTAATTCCCTTGGTTTAATAGTTTAGTGCACAGCAGTGTTCTAAATTGTTTTGCAACCTACAAGCAGGAAGCACTTGCAGTATAAAAGGTATTAAAAGAGTTACTTATCCAAAAGTCCAGAATCCATTGATAAAAAACATCATCACGTCATTTGACTTGCAGAACACAGGAGCTGATGATTTACAATGTACAATTCCTACTTTAAAAGATCAGAACTATACATTATATATCTATTAATAATTAGACATGGGAAGGGGAAATTATTCACTCATTAGTATTTATTTCAGATTTTACAGCATTATTTACTCAACATTATAGAATATTTTAAAGAACTCGTAGCTGCAAAACAATATGTGGTCTTCAAAATCTATTGCTCAAAATATGTGATAGTATGTATAAATCATTATATGTAGATTTGGGAGGAAATAGAAAACAATTTATATTCAAACAACTTGTGTCGTTTATTCAAACAGCTAAAAAACAAAAAATGTAACCGCTGGCAAACATTAGATCAACACTATGTTTCCTGACATTGTCTAATGCATTGGTGTGAAGATAAAACACAATTGAAACATTACCCTTTTGCTAGTGTTGAACCACCAACAATGGTGAATTGTAGGGGTGTAACGGTATATCGAATATCACGATATCGCGGTAAATAATTGCCTCAATACCGTCGTGAGACTGACAAAATCTACCACAATCCTTTTTTTAATTTTTATTATTATTTATTTCTTTTTAATACATTTATTTTTTTATTTTTTTTATTTAACCAGATGGTCCCATTGAGATCATTGATCTCTTGTTCAAGGGAGAACTGTCCAACATGGCAGCAAGTAGGTTACAACATAAAACATAAAACAACAGATAACACAAAAGGACATCGTATTTACAGGGCTACATGTACATACCTAGAGACATTGACAAGTACCAACAGTATATTTATATCTCGCCCTGTCAATAAGCCTCACCTTCTTGGCAACAACTGTATTGTTTTTGAAGTGGTGGAGAGACAATGCACAGTTTTACCCACTGCTGTCACCCATGGCCAAAGCATATCTCTCTGTCCCAGCAACATCAGTACCAAGCAAGAGAGTTTTTTTCCACAGCAGGGGATATTGTAAACGCCCAAACATCTCAGCTTCTACCTGGAAATGTGGACATGCTCATATTCCTAAAAGATAACCTTGATGATGCTGAGTGAGTGAGTTAGAGTTGAGTTACTTGAAAAACTAAAGTGAAACTTGATTTATTCTATTGCAGGGTCTGATTATTATATTGTTGACACTTTAAAATACTACTATCCTACTAAAAAACTGTACAAATCAGATGTATTATTTAATAAAGAAAAAAAAATTCAAGTAAAAAAAAAAATGTATTTTTCAATATTGCAATAAATATCGTACCGTGGACTTTTTATCGCGATATTATCGTACCGTGAGTTTTTGGTATCGTTACATCCCTAGTGAATTGTGTCATTAGAGTCCACTAAAACTGGGTTATTTGAATAAAAGAAGGGCCTTCCTGCTGTGTGTAAGAATAAAGATTCTAAATGTGGATCCTAACCTGTGACGTCTTCCCCTCAGGGATAATGCCCGGTCGCTACAACCAGGAAGTGGGCCAGACCATCCCCGTGTTCGCCTTCCTGGGAGCCATGGTGGTCCTGTCCTTCTTCGTGGTCCAGCTCACTAAGGCCAAGAGCAAACCCAAGCGCAGGAAACCTCGTATCAAGCGGCCCACGTACCTCCAGCAGCAGACGACGACTACGACCAGTGGGAAAAACCCCACAGTGTGAGCGGGAAAAACCTTACAGTGTGACCTGCGTTCACAACGGACAACTTTTGTTAGTAGCAACCTGCGATAAGTGGGGTCTAATGAACTCTGAAATTGAGCCGTAAATGTACTCCAGGCTTCTCTCGGATGAAACAGTTTTTGTGCCTCTCGTCTGTTCAAGGCTCTCCGTGGGTGTTTGTGTGTGTTTGTGGACTAATGAACAGTATTAGACGTGTGACACGTATGATATTAAACACACCTGGCCTCGAAATTGCCTGTTTGAAACAGACATGTTGTCTACATTTCCCTCTGTCTTCTTCGACCAAATTGTTTCTTTATGAATGACTTTTATATTTATTGAATTTGTTCAGACCCTAACACATATCCAGAAGTATAAGAGATTTCACACACATACTACACACACTGTATGCACTTTAAGAATAAAGCGGTTTGCATACACGCCGACAGAAACAACCCCCTACACACACGCATATGTGCAATCATGCAGACATGTCCAAAACAAGGACCACGGTATGATCAAGTTGTCGTCTCCTGTGTCTCCATCAGTCATATCTGTTTTAAATCCCTGTCTTTTCATTGTTTTTATACTTTATATAATGAATTGGCCAGGCGTTCTGTTGATATCCTCCTCCATGATCTCATGGTCAACAAAGTAGCATCAACAGACTTGTTCAAATATATCTCATCAATTAAAAAGCATAATCAAAGTGATCTGCCTGCTTATTGTTTCTGGAGCTTTTGAAGTCATTTACAATGGCTATTCAAGATATAGCACATACATTAAAATAGTATATTTCAGCCACAAGTGCAGTATTTACATTTTTAAAAGTTTCTTCATAAAAGGAGAGAGACTAAATAATTGAAGAGGCCGTATTATGCTCAGTTTCAGGTTTCATATTTATATGTTGTGCCTCTTTTGTGAAACTCCTTTATTATTCTCATCCTGCCTGTGCTGCAGCACATTTTTTCACTGTCTGAAACCAGAGCTAGATAGGTCCCGCCCCTTAGCCTATAATGTACATTCTGTTGGAGCGCTGAATACATGAATAGTGACTTTAAAACCATTGTTCCCCTTCAATTTTGAATTAGTTTTCCAGTCAAGAAAAGCATAAGGGCTTGTGGGCCGTCAGCAACTTGCACCAAAACAATCTAGATGCTAAAAATCACTATAGGTAAGAAGAGAAATGTGTTTTTTATTTTGGGTTAGCTGGGTTTCCCTTTTAAAGAATATTTTTTCCCCGACCGGGGATGTTAGCATTGCACTGGTTCCTTCAATAAAAGCCAATGGGATTTTTCCATTGGATTTTGGAATATTGCATTAAACAAGGTCTATGGCTAACGAACATTTATGATGCTTACATATTTTGTTTAGCAGGATAATCTCCACATACTGGTGGAAATTATTTTAGGTGGGGCTATTGTAATGGTGAATAAACCACACAGGGAACATTTTGAGAAATGACTGCAGAACACCGGTTCTTTGGGAACACTCAAATGATTGAATTCCCATTTCAAATCAGGAGACCAAATACGAGCATTCAGACGTGGTTCAGAAACACAGAAATATTAGAAAACACACCATTAAGGCAATAAATCTAGTTTGATGGATGCTGTCAAAACTCAACTATATACAAGTGTGTGTGTGTGTGTGTGTGTGTTTGTTTATCATTTATCACGGGCACATATCTGTCCCCGGCTGTTTGAAGAGCAAGCATGGGAAACAAAAGACAGCGTTTACCTGTTTGCATCCAGCTAGTCACACACACAGTTATAATCACACTCCCTGTAATTGACATAATTATTATTATTATAGATAGTTTAGCTTCTCACCATCATTTGCTGTGGCCCACTGATGTTAACGATCGTAACTGAACCTTTCTAGCCATAACCAACTCACAGACTGCATCGGCTGAAATTGCCGCCCTTTGAGCATCAGATCTGACGACGCTGATTGGCTGAAATTATGTTTCGGCGGCATAGTTTACAGATTGCAACAGTCAGCAATGTGTTGGATACTGCTGGGGCTGAGTGAGGGCTCCTTTCTTAGCGCCCAGACAAGAGAGGGTAATGATACACGCTGCGGCCAGGGAGGAAACATGTGACTTATCAATATGCCCCTATGGGCCGGCTGCCACTGTCCACATATAAACACCACTTCTGTGTTTTTTGAAGCTTAAAGGCATTCACCATAAGTCAAAAGCTAACATTGGGCTATAAATAACCATTGTCACATGGCTGCTCCTCTCCGACCCTAAGCTAACGGTGGCTAACCCTTGGCTTCATGACATTAAGTAGTTTAAGTTATCTAACACCATTTTAATTTACATATGGAAGCTTCAGATTTCTTGGTGTGTTTACTGACATATTTTATTTCACAGAACAAGTATTAGCCACAGACCTTATTCCAGGCTTCTAACCAAAACCCCATTCAACTGCATTTGTGCTTTCTTCTGGAACCAATACATTTATTGTCTCTTGCTTTTCCCCCGTTGATAAAGTAGAAATATATGTGTTATTTTAATAATAACGGAGAGTAAAGTCAATACCCAACAATTTTCACCACCAAAAAGAGAACATTAGGGTCTTAAGTGTTTAGGGTTCTTTTTATGCCTTTATTCAATAACTAAAAATGAATTGGGGATATTCCATTAATTTACAGTAAATGTATTTAAGCCACCTTGCACATTTTGTTGTATTGCGTAGTTGTAAATAGACCAGTATTTTTCCATGTAGCCTACAATGGGATATGAATGCTAAGCGAGCAATGGCAATCAGTAACATGAACATCATTTCAATCTAAGTATTTATTTAATTGTGATGGAACCTGCCAAAATATTTGACTCCAGTCACCCCAAAAACCTCACAGAAAAGTGGAGGTTAATCTTGTGACGTGAGTTAATTCCTTGCCCTTCTGCAGGTTGGTGAAATGCATATTGTCTGTGTCCTTGGCAGAGGAATTAATTGCAGTTTTATTCTGTGAAGTTATTATAGATTTAAAGGACTAATGCCACCTCACTCGTGGTTTTAGCATTGGCTATGGACTGAATTCAGTGATGCAGGTTGATTTCATCAGAGGTGATGTGCGTCGGTGTGCTTGGGGGTCTGAGCTTTGGCTCCTTATCCGAGCCTAATAGGCCAGATCAGCCTGTGAATCTGTCACCCGTCCTCTTGGATGACGGCCCCACTGGAGAACTAATCTCCCTCGGAGCCTTGGGAAACTGGGAAATGACCCCGGAGCCAGCTAGCTGTGCTAACAAGATTTGGGAAAGCTGGTGGTGAGTGGAGGTCACATGCCCTCTTTCCCTCGATGGTTCCCAGATGCCAGGACTTCCTGTGGGGCCAATCAGGTCGCCTGCTCACATCCTGGACGGACAGTTGAAAGAGACACTGTGGCGGCTCTGAGCTGAACCCTCAAGCCCCCCTCCCTCCGAATCATCAGTTCCTCCCTCATCATATGTCCTACCAGCCTGTACCTCTCCCCGTCCACTGTATCCATTAACGTCTGTGTGGATGAAAGGCTAGCTCACATTTACACTCCTGCTGACACACCTGTTCACATGTGTTCCTTCCGCCTGTCCCCTCAGGGCAGACACTTTAATGGGTCGCTGGCTGACTTGAGTGTTTAAAAAGAAATCAACTCACATGACTGAACTCAACAGACACAGGTCATGAATCAGACAACTTTTAACCTAAGGGTTAAGACCAGACTGTATTAACCATAGCCAGACTCTTTGTGACGTCACCCTGAGAATTTGGAGGTTGCTGAGATTTCAGTGAGGCTTAATGTCATGGAAACAAAAAGAGAACTGGAAAAGACTTTAAAGGCCGTCTATTCATATGAAAGTGGATCAGACCCACATTTTCCGGCGATCTTTCGTAGCTATGGTGCGTTCGGCCCCCACCCATTTTCTTTTTTACAACGTCTCGTGAGTAAGGTGCAGTACCGGAGTCCAATAGAGAGGCAGCAGCTGCGGGACAGTAGACTGCGTACTGCGACCCCTCTTGAAGAAGAAGTGATCCTTCGTTGTGAAGTCTGCTTTATGCACTCCGCAGCAAAGCAGGAGCCCAGCTGCGACCCCTTTTATGACTTCTGGAGATGTTAGAGATATGAGAAGACTGATCAATACCTCCATAATCTTCA